GACCCCGCCGCACCGGCCCCAACCTCCTCATCGACTCCACCAAGGACGGCCTCCTCACCAAGATCTTCTCCTCCACCGCCGCCGCCGGCACCGACGCCAACCCCGACGCTCCCTCAGCCCCGCTCGCAGACGAGGCCCTGCGCCCTTCCCACGTCGCCGACAAGATCCCCTACGCCTTCCAGCTCGCCACCGCCCAGGGGCCCCTCTGCCACGAGCCCGTCCAGGGCATCGCCGTCTTCCTCGAGGACGTGACCATCCACACCACCGACGACGACCCCAGCCCCCTCGCCCGCGACCGCCTCCCCCGCCTCACGGGCGAGATCATCAAGACATTCTCCGCCTCCCTCCGCTCCGGCATGCTCGACTGGTCCCCGCGCCTCATGCTCGCCATGTACTCCGTCGAGATCCAGGCCTCCACCGAGGTCCTCGGCCGCGTCTACGATGTCCTCACCCGCCGCCGCGGCCGCGTCCTCTCCGAGGCCATGAAGGAGGGCACTCCCTTCTTCACCATCCAGTCCGTCCTCCCCGTCGCCGAGTCCTTCGGGTTTGCCGACGAGATGCGCAAGCGCACCAGCGGCGCCGCCCAGCCGCAGCTCATCTTCGCCGGCTACGAGGTCCTCGACGAGGACCCCTTCTGGGTGCCCTTTACCGAGGACGACCTCGAGGACCTCGGCGAGCTGGCCGACAAGGAGAACGTCGCCAAGAGGTACATGGACGGCGTGCGCAGGAAGAAGGGGTTGTTGGTCGAGGGCAGAAACGTGGCGCGTGACGCGGAGAAGCAGAAGACGTTGAAGAGGTAGCGAAAGAAAGTTGTAGACATGGTAAAAGAGATTAAAAGCAAAAGAGAATAGAATTTATGAACGCTATGCATCATCGCACTTCACAATCCCAGAGGCAACAAGGGAGTTCATGGTTTAAAATTTGCAACTTTTTGTATTCCCATTCAACACTATCATCTATTTCGCACCCAGCAAAAGCCCACCTCCCGATTTCCTCCTCGCAAACCCCTTTCGTCCAATCGTTCTTTCGTCACATCGGGAGGGCGGAACATAAAACACCAACGAATTTCCCCCGCTCATCGTGTTCTTCGTGCAGTCTTTCTCAAATCGTCAGCTAGCAAAGGAAAACCCGGGAAGCATGGGGCGAGACTTTAACGTTTCCGCCTTCAAAAACACAAGCTTGCTGAATTTGTGGTATCGAAGGAAGGAGACAAGAAATAGGGTGGAGGGGAGAGTGGGCAACCGTTTTAAAAGACAGGGGAAAAGGACTCATAAGCGTGCGTGCGTGGTAAGAATTCGAAGGAAGCTCTATTCGTAGCACTGCATCAGGGGGTCGAGCCGAGACAAAAGATATTCGGAGGGTCTGAGGAAGGCGGCGAGAGAGAGGAGTAGTTTTAACTGGTGTTTGTGATTTGTGATTCCCTAATGCTCCTTCTTTTTTATGTCACTAGGAGCAGAAAATCCCTTTGGCGGATCGAGGATTTGCTGGCGAGTCGAGAGGAAAAACCCATAGGCCGAACTTTTCTGAGCGCGACAGCAAGAAGGGGGAAACGAGACAACAAAGGAGAAAAAGATACGACGGAAAAAAAAGACAACATTTGGTCATGACACCCCTTTCCCTTCCAACATCCATGAGCCCTTATTTTTTGTAACCACTTCGCAAACTCCGATGAATGCGTGCGAGCTGCGCGCCTTCTCCAGTCGTTGAGAGTCGAGGAGACTGTTCTTTTGTTGCCTCGAGGGGAGGCAATCCGAGCAAGGACCGTCGAGGGTGCTGAGTGTGTGTGAAAAGGAAAGTGTTTGGTTTTCTTCTCCTTCAGCAATCCGGATGAGCCAGGTTTCTTTCTTCGCGGGGGAGAAGAGCAAAATATCAGGAAAAAGCGGAAGATCGTTGGCCCCCTCAAGCTCCGATGATGCGGTTCATGGCGTGAAGTCGTTCGTCAGAATCGTACGAGTCATCTGGGTATATGTGACGAGGAAACTCGTCTAGGCCCGGCATGCAGACAATCGGGCGCAGCTTATCCGCAATGTATGCGGCCTTTGCCCCATCATGTCCAACTGGACGCTGAAGGATAGTGGGAGGCGCATAAGCCCTCTAGGCAGTGCCGCGAGGGCCAACGTTGCGCCGGTTCTTGTTGGGAACCGTAGTCCAACCGTCCTCCTCAACAGTGGCCTCACCGTCAGCGGCGGGGGTGGAGGGCTCACGAGCAGCAGGGCCGCCGTTGGAGCGCGAAGGGCGGGCGTTGTCAAAACGGCCGCCACGAGGACCGGCACCGCCACGACCACCGCGGGGTCCAGTGGGAGCACCACGCGCACCTCCGGAAGACGCCGATCTCCAGCTGCTGGCCTCAGTGGCACGGGAGGTCTTGGCGGCCTCGCGGGGCTCTTTGGGCTCCTTTGATCGAATAGGGACCTTCTGCTCGTCAGAGGCACCGTTCTCCTTGCTCTCCTTGCTCTCTTCCTCCTTTGCGGCCTCGGGGGCCTCCTCTGCAGCCTTGGCAGCCTCCTCCGCGGCCTTGGCCTCCTGCTCAGCCTTCTCGGCAGCCTCCTTAGCGGCAGCTTCCTTGGCCAGACGGCGCTCTTCCTTGGCCTTCTCGTCGGCCTCCTTCTTCTCCCTCGCCAGCTGCTGCTTCTTCTCCTCGATCTCACGCTCTTTCGCGGCGGTATCGATAGGACGGGCGGCACCGAAGGGGCTGGCCTTGGAGTCAGTGCCGGAAGGCGAGAGAACATCGGGGGCTTCGGAAACGGTGCGCTTGGCAAGGTTCAGCCTGGGGCGGCCAACAGGGGCAGCAGGGGCAGCGGCGGGGGAGGACGGGGCCTCGCTGCCGTCGCGAGACTGGCTACCGGACTTGACAGCCGCGTCAGGACGCATCTTGGATCTCCACTGGCTGTCCTGCTCGGCGGCGGTAGGGGTACGCTCAGGGCGAGGGGGGCGAGAATCCTGGCGGGGTTGCTGGCCCTCTCCCCAAGCGGCGGGGGACTGGTGACGGTTGCGGAACTCCCGAGGTCCATCGTTGGTGCGGGGGCGGCTACCCTCGCGGGAACCGCGCTCCTCCTTGGGAAGAGGAGAGAGGGGGCCTCTACGCTCCCAGTTGCCAAAGTCACGGGTCTTGCCGTCATCCTCGCGAGGCTCGCGGGGCTCACGCGGGGCACGGCGCTCGCCAAATTCGGAGCCACGGCGGTCGTTTCCACCACGGCCGGGGAGGTCAGGAAGGGGGCCCTTGCGGGTCCAGTCGCCAAAGTCGCGAGTAGACTCACCGCGGTCGCCGCCACGGGCTGAAATTATGTTAGCAACGGTCGAGATGTGTCATCGCGTGGGCATGCTTACGAGGATCAGCAACCTTGATTCTGATGACACGGCCCTGGAAAGACTGGCCGTCCAGAGTCAAAGCCTGCTTCAAGCCCTCGAGGTCCTGGAACTCGGCGTAGGCGAAACCCTTGGGACGCTGCTGCTCGCGGTCCTCGATGATGCGGACGTTAACAATGTTGCATCCCTCAAAGAACTCGGTGACGGTCTCGACGGTGGCATCGTAGGACAGGTTGCCCAGGTGAGCGGTAAAAGGGGGCTTGTCGGGGAGCGTCTGGGGGAGGTTCTCGCGGATGGAGGAGTAGCCGCCGTAGTCTCCTACAATATCATCAGCATGTGGGTTGAATGACGTAAACGCAATTGGAATAAAACTCACTGCGCTCGGGGCGGTCGCCGCCGCCGCTGCCCCAGCCACCTCCGGAGGGTCGGTAGCCAGCCCGCTCGGGGGGAGGAAGTGCCTGAGTGCCTACAAACACATGTCAGTGGACGGAAGCCTTAGAGTGCAAGGCTGAGACGGGGAGCTGTCGCATACCGGCTGCATCAAGGTTAGCGAGACTGTCTGCTGCGTATGGTTGGTGCCCAAAGAAAAAAACTCACTGAAAGTATCCTCGACCTCATCTGCCCACGATCCTCCATAGCCTGCACAATGTTAGTATTTCATATCCATTAACTGGGCGGTGAGTCGCTCGTTCGAAGGGTTGTGGGATGCTTCGGGGTTCGGAGAACGGGGGAAAATTTTGTCGAGGGGTTGCGACTGACTTTGGTCTTGCAGGAAGTCGCCAAGCGACATCTTCTGCTGTTCCTTCTTCTTGGGAGCTATGATGACATGACCAGTTAGCGCCAGCACGGGTCTGAGGCGACACAACGGTCCTCGACGATGGTAGCTCACCCATGATTGCGGTGTTGAGGGGGCTTCGCGCAACGATTCAGATCGAGGCGCGAGGCGGGGGAATGGTGGTAGCCGAACGAGGCGGCTGTTCGCAAGGGGTGTTGGTGGTGGTGCGGAGGCTGGATATCCGAGGGATATTCTGCAGGTCGAGATGCCGCCGTGGGAGGGAGGATCTCGTGCGCCGGAGTCGAGAGTGTCGATTGGCGATTTGCGTCAGGAATGCGCGGCAGACTAGATATGGCCCAGCTTGTATGGTATGCTGAGGCGGTAGTCTTCCGGAGAAAGGTGAAGTTTTACCCGCGCAGAAAGGGTGGTCGAAAGTTTGTGAGGGTTGGACAATTTTCTCGACAGTGGCCAGGAGGTGGGAGGCACTAGCCCCGCCGCGGCTTAGCGCAGCTTTTTTACCTAGCGCCCCGCCAAAGAAGCACGGACCATCATAGCCGGGCAAACCCGTGATTGAACAATCCGCCTGCTGTGAGAGGGGCAACCGGAGTCTTGGGGGGGAGGGGAAGCCTGCGGTTGACCTCACTCCAGCGCTTCGCTGTCTGCTGCAGCACTGCTGGGGAGTGCTTGGGCCACAACGTCGCCGGCTCTTGCATCTATCCGGAGTGCACGGTTAAAAACGTTTTGAGCCGCACCGAAACATTTAGAAACGGCCCCTCGCTTGTTTGTCATCTCCTCGTTTGCTGCATAATCGATATCTGCGTGGGGAAAGCTTCCAGAACACTCGTCGCGTCGTCCCCTGCATTGCGTTGTCGCTGGATGTCCGGGCCCTGGCTTCCTGCAACCTGCCGCCAAAATCGATATGGCAGACGACGCGCAAGACGATGTGAAGGAGAGGCGGCGCCAGCGCCAGCGCCGTGGGCTGCTGCCCCCGGAGCTTGTCGATCTCATGGGACCGCCGTTGAAGGTTGGCGCCCTGACTGGTAGGTTCTCATCTGAGTATTGCATCACACTATGAAGTATTCGCTAACTTGTAAATCAAAGGATCCATCGGTCTGTTCAGTGGCATTGCTGCCGGCATCATCCGCGACTCAACTCCAGCCCTGTTTGCGATAGCATCAGGCATCCAATGGTTTGCCCTTGGCTCCAGTTACTGGCGTGAGTATTCCTGTCGCATTCCTCGAATCCACATGCTAATCAAATTTTAGTCTCTAGGTCAGTAGCGTTGAACTACCTGGGCCGCGAGGGTCAACTATCCGACTCATCCAAGGTCAAAGCAAGTGCCGTTGCTGGAGGCACTGCTGGCATGGTCGGCGGTCTCATCCGTGAGTGGCATCTCTTGCCATTGTGAAGAACTTCCTAACCTCTAGCAGGCGGTCCCAAGAACATCATTCCCGGTATTATCGTGTTCTCAATAGTGGGCGGAGCAGGCCAGGCCATTGTCAACAGAACACAACGTGTGTCGCCAGATGCCAAAGAGAAGAAGAGCTTCTTCGAATCAAGTTGGAGCCCACTGAAGAAGCTGTCGGACGACGAGTATCGCGATATGCTCGACGAGAAGATGCTCAAGATTGATGCCGAAATTGCCCTCATTGACGACAAGATTGCCGAGCTGCGGGCTGCGAAGGCAGCGGAGCCCCCTCAGGCTCCAGAGCCTCCATCCAAGCCATCAAGTCCTAAGGCCTAGGTGCTGTCGATTCATCTGCGTACATAATACCCAACCATTTAGACTGTAACAATACATGTACAACATCTCGAAAAACATTCACTTTTCGCAAAGCTGAACTTCATGCCATCATTCAGACACTTATCTCTATCACGATACTCGGAGTCTACAAGGGTGAGTGTTTAGGAATGATTTCAAACGAGATAACTGATTTCGAGCCTCCCTGTGGCGAAGTACTATGCCGCACGAGAGACACTCTTCAATACACCAGTCAAGCTTGTTGATTCAGAACTAGTGCTGCAATCATGATTGGTCAAAGACAGGCAGTACAGCCTCATCGGTTACCTTCCCACGAAGGGATAAGCTCGCGACGTGACCCGCAGCTTGGTTTTCCCTACGCCTTGCACTATTTTACATTTCGCTTCTCGGTACTGCATTGCCTTCACGACAGTTTTGCTATGAGACTCATTGACACAGCAACCCTCCGTCTTCAAGACTTTTCCGACTTGGAACGCCCCAAATACGCCATTCTCTCCCACACATGGGGCAAAGAGGAAGTCAGCCTACAGGAACGGATGGAGTGGGAGGAGGGAGACCCAAATCAAAAGACCCGGATAGAAGCCAAAAGCGGTTTCAAGAAGATTGCAAACGCATGTCGAATCGCTCGGTTAGATGGTCATCCATACATCTGGGTCGACACCAACTGTATCGACAAGAAGAGTAGTGCCGAGTTGTCCGAAGCCATCAATTCCATGTTTTCCTGGTATCAGGCCTCTAGAGTTTGCTTTGCATATCTGGAAGATCTCCCAGCGGAAACCACTACCAAGGACCTGTCTAGGTGTCGATGGTTCACCAGAGGCTGGACACTGCAAGAGCTTCTCGCACCTCGACGCGTGACGTTCTTTGACTCGGCGTGGGAATCTGTCGGCACAAAAACCACGCTTCGCACACGAATTCGCGAGGCTACTTGCATAGAGGCAGCTGTGCTTCGTGACCCAGCAAAGATCAACACTGCTTGCGCTGCCAAAAAGATGTCGTGGGCGTCATCACGCCAGACAACTCGTGTCGAAGACATGGCTTATTGTCTTCTGGGACTTTTCAACATCAATATGCCCCTCTTGTACGGCGAAGGCAACGACGCTTTTCGAAGACTCCAAGAGGAAATCATCAAAGTTTCCACCGACCAAAGCCTCTTCGCATGGGACTGGCCTTCCACGACACCGAAATATTATTTGCGAGGGCTGCACTCAGTCACAACATTGGCCCCTTTCCCCTCAGCCTTTGGAAAATGCCATGATGTTGTGAGGGACTTGGACCATGAGCTGCAGACCCAGCCGCGCCACAGAGAGTATGCCATGACAAATTTCGGACTTAACATCGCTCTTCCCCTGCTTATTGAAAAGCAGGGTGCGCGTTACGGGGCATTAAACTGTAGATACAAGAAGCTGCAAGATTTTCTTATCTGCATTCCTCTGTCTATCCATGACCTGACAGGGACTTTCTACCGAGACGACTCCCGAGACCTTATAATTATTCCGCGTCGATACTTTCTTGGACAGCCGACCTCAATTTTACTCCCTCGATATTCCGAGTCTCAGCACTATGCCTTATCACCTAGTTTTCTCAGACCTCAGGATGGAGAAGTCTCGTTCCTGCTGTTCACCTCGAATAGGGACTTGGGACTCTGGGAGATTCGTACATCGTGGGGGTACATGCGAGCCAGTCAGCGACTTTACATCGAAGGAAAAGATATTCCGCATGATATCAGAGCCAACACTGTCACGGTCAGAAAGAAGAATACCAACACACAGTGGGTGTTTGTTATTTTATGGACCCCGGAATGTGACTGGGGACACGTATGCGTCAAGAGCTACTACGGAGATCCAGAAAATGATGTCGGAGGGGACCTCTTGCAGCGCACAGTGGTTCATGCGCCTTGTACCGGGGAAGCAACGGCTTTCTTCATGGATTTCGAGCTCGAGGTCGGTTTTCGTTATTCTACAGTGAGCAGTTCAGGCGGACGGTGGCTCCCTCTGTTTCTGAAGCGATCACCGGAGACGATGGACCAATGAGGTCCACGACTAGTCGGTGATGGAGAGCTGGCTTCTCCGCCCTTGTTAGGTAGATGATGTTCCCAGCGATGTGAGCCGTGGTCAGACAGCGGCGTTTTCATGTCTGGCGAAGTGGACGCTCACGGAGGGAGTGCCAGTTTTTCCTAGCTGGGCGACGTCAAAAGACATGAAAGGTCCGGTTGTCTAGGACAGGCCAGATTATGCAAGTAGCTAACTCTGGTCTGATTGACAAGAGCTTGCTGTTATCTTCAGTGTAAGCAAGACAGAATCGACGCTGTAGATTAGGCGTGCGGGACAAGTAAGCATGACTCGGCGAACGATTGCGATTCACCACGTGTCTCGACGTCAGTTGGTCCTTGCCGCTCTATTTTCCGATGGAAGGGCCGGTGGACCACGAGCGGATGGAATGAGTTCCGGGTTGCATACGCGTAGACAATTACATGGATGATCGAGATGGCTTGGCAACCGCGATCAACATCAGTTCCTGGAACTTGGACAATGTCGCTGAGGTCGATCCTTGTAGACCACGAGGAGGCTGGAACACATTGCTTCTTCATCAACCGTTGTAAGGCCCTTGCGCATACGTGCCCTCTTAAGTAAAGTGCTTATCTCAACTCAACCAGAAGAGCAAGATCTTGGTTCAGACGGCTTATCCTGGTCCGAGGCTCCCCGTCCGAGGCTGGCTCAGTCGGCGTCCGATATGACGGACGCTGGAGATTGGAGGCGCTTGCTGCACGTGCTAAGGATGAGGAGCAGCCCTAGCTTCGGCGCCAGGGCGTCCCAACCAATGCAGGAGCGCATTGAGTCCGCGATGCACGGCCCTCTGATGCAGCGATGGGATGCACGCAATTGATAATAAATCTGAGGCGGCGACATGAAGCCGTGCCGGACGGGTGGTGCTGCACTTTGGGGCAACAGGGTACGTACTTCTCGCACTCAGTGAGCCGGGATTGGGGATCCATACTGAACAGTCAGCGATCCAATGAGATGCCGTGGCAGCCGGAACTAGCCGGCAAGCGAGGACCATCTCTGGGGGTGGGAATTTTAGAGGAAGTGGTGAATGCCATCGTCTCTTCGCTGGTGACACCGTGGCGGTACTTGCTGCGCGGTGATGCACGGGTGATGTCAGAAGTACCGCGACTGGAGCACCCCTGGCGAGAGTGGACTTGGTGATGTTCATTTCCACCACCCGTCAATCCCAAGTGCCCTGTTCCTGGATTCCGCCGCTCCGTCCGCCTCCTTAACCTTTGCGAGAGTGAGCGAAGCTGACCAGACCAGACCAGACCAAACCAGACCAGGCCAGGCCGCCCTGTTCCCGTCGCCCTGCACTCACTGCACCTGCACCACACCGACGCGACGCCGCTTCTCCTGTTCTGTCCCTTCCTTGTCTTGGCTCCAACTCTCCAAGTTTGGACAGTCAGTCAGTCTTGTCTTACCTTACCAATCCCCTCTTGGGTCCTACTATTTGTTGCTATTGAAACGGAAAAAAGAAGGCCGCGTTGTTTTGCTGGCTAGCAACCCGCCCGTTATCGTTCATCATTTAATCGTATCGACAAGACATTGACAGCCAGCTCGGACAGACGGGTTCCCTGTCAAGGGTGGATTTGAAGCAGCAAGTACCTCCTTGGCTTCCCGTACTGAATACGTGTTGGTGTGTGGCAGCGTCAGTGTCGTGCCGAGCAGGTCACCAAGAACGGAGAGGACAAGGGCTTAGACGGCATCGCTCGCATTTTGCCAGTCCAATCCATCCAACAATTTCTGGCTGCGCTGCGTCACTCGTTCTGCAACAGCTGCATCAATCACCGATCCCGCCGGCTGAGCTTTTTTGAGCCAACCCTCTGCCATCCGACTGGACTGCCACACAAACCGCAATACGGATACGTCGTCTTTTTTCCCCAACGGAAAGTACTCTCCGCACTGCAACGCACCGCACCGCACCTCATCGCATCGCCGCCATTTTTTGGGGTCAGCAACCTTTACTCTCCCTTCCGACCTTCCCAAGGGATCCGATCGTCTTCTTTTCTCCCCGCCGTCCCGCCCTGCGACCGAACGACCGAACGATCGAGCTAGCTCGTTATATCCCTTGGCAAATACTGCAACCGCCTGGGCGCCGGAACTCTGCTCCTGCAAGAGAGCAATCGCGGAGTTTACATCATCAACCACACCTGCAGACGCACCCCAAACACCCACACACAAGGACTGGTTCACGACATGGCGCGCTCGGATCGTTGGAGGCGGAAGTAAACGTGCGGGATTCCATAGAGATCTGGTTCTCTCCAGGCACGTTACCCTCCTTTTTTTGTCCTCCGTGTCCGCCGTCTTGTCCCTCCGTTGCCCCCTCCATACCCACTCCGTTCCGGGAGCTGTTGGACTAACGTTGCGGCGGTGGTGGTACAGATACTGAACCGAGCTTTCGATCGCGCAAATCGACCGCGGGCTCACTATGGCTCTGCTCAACCCGACTTTCATCTTTGGCGTCATTGTCCTCCTCTACCTCTCCTCCTTCATTCTCTTCGCCGTCGTCCGCATCCTTACCGGAGTATCGATCCAGAGAATAGGCTACTTCTCCCTCCGCCGACTCGCTTATACACCGAGAGATGGATTCAAGATTGAGATCCGGGGGTTGGGACTCAACGTCCACCGCCCAACCTTCGCCCAGCCCACATGGCTGAGCATTGTGGTCAGCGAGCTGGTCGTCACCGTCGACATCCGCGAGCTCGACGGGAAGAAGAGTGAGGACAGCTCCGGCGACTCCGATAGTACCGATGCCGAGGAGGATTCCGATACACAGCAGGCGGAGCAGCAGAAGGTGCCTTTAATACGGCGGAATGGCGGCCCCCCGCCCCGGAGCGAGACCTGGAAACACCTCATGAAGCTCAAGGATAGGATAAAGAGGGCGCACCGCAAGCTGAATTGGCTGCGGATGGTCGATGTCGTGGCTACCAACTCTACCATCAAGGTCGTCGACGTGGGCGATGTGCAGTTTGGAAGCTTGACCGTGGCTGTTGACACGCGGCGCAAGATGGTCGACCGCGCACGTTTCTTTTTCCAGTCTCGAAATGACAAGACCAAGAACAAGCAACGACAGGCAGAGTGGATGATGACGCTACGCAGCGTTTTGTTTACACCGGAGGGCAAGGAGTCTCTCGAAATTCTTGATAATGCGACGTTGAACATCCATGGGTTCTTGTACGAGGCGTTGGACGGACTACGCGATGCAGCCATTGCTCTTAAGCTGGGCCGCGTCCACATTCCCTACGACGAGGTTCGGTTATGCGCCGACCGACTGAAGGAGTGTAAGTCGGCTGCCCGCACGCCTTCGTTGGAGGAGCCGGCCGACATCTTCATGGAGAAGGTGATCCACGAGGTTGCCCAGCCGGGCAGCACGCACCAAGAGTTGATCCAGACCGTGTCCGACTCGAAAGAATTCATCAGCTCTATCCTGAGGGGCGTTAAGGAGGTCCAATTCGCGGTGAGCTTTGTTGGCATGACGAAGAAGGTGGAGACGGTAAAGCCCAACGCCAAGCCCATCTTGCTCAATGCCTCTATGAAGGAGGTCGGCATCGATTTGCATCGCCTAGATCCCAAATCGCCATCCCACAGGATGTACTTTCCGTCCAAGGACATCGCCCATGAGGCTCTTGCTGCAGCGCTGTCCATATCTATTGGCCTGGACGATGGCGACGGGAAGCCGGAGAGACTGTTGTACATTCCTATGGCAACAACCACGGTCAAGACAACACTGCCGTCCAAGACAGTCGAGATGGCACAGGACGTGGGCGCCGAAGAGAGGAACGCCAACATTCTCTTCGCCAACTCCGTAGTGACATCTCCTTCGGTGGATCTCGACCCGCGTCATCTTCCGATCCTCGTCGCCATGCTTCAACCAAAACCCAAGAGGCATCGCGGCGATCGTCAGCCACGGCATGTACTTATATCACGATTACTGCCAAAGGCCAACATAAAGTTTACAATGCACGAGCCCGTTCTCCGAGTCGCCCTACCTGCAGTTGACCAGCACGCAGCTCCCGATGATTTTGATTTAATTATATCTTCAATCTCATCGATTTCACTTGACATGGAATCATTCCATTCTACTGTTGAGGACTTGCATTATTCACTAGCCTCAACAATGAGGATACAGTCACACGAGTTATACTACCAGACGTCATCGAGTAACCGATTCGACCTCATCCAAACCGAGTCCTTCGAGTTGAAGGTGCAACTTAGTGCGACACCCGATGTTCACGTTGTGGCATCAGGCAACCTACAAACGTTTGCCATCAAAATGGTGCGACCTGAGATCACCGATGGTCTTAGACAGATCGTGCGACAGCTGAGAATGAATGTCGAGTCTGAGAAGCGATTTACCTCAAAAACTTCAAGCAAGCCACCACAAAACTTCCTCCGCGCATTGCCATCTTGGTTGCTTCAATTTCAACTTCAAGCATCTGATTTCAGCGTGGAGGTTGCTGGCATCGACGAGGATATCTCAGATGACACGCGCGGCGTGTCCATCCAGCTCGATGAGTTCTCAGCGGAGTACCGAGCACAAAGACTCGACGGCGGACTTCAACGGCGGCCATCCAGGCGTAGGGCTAACAGCCGTACCGTCCACCCCGACTCGGATCTTCTCAAGCATCCGGTTTCCCCTGCACCGAGGAAGAAGCAGCAAAACCCAGGAGATGGACGCAGAGTCGCCATTCACGTGCGAGGTTTGGAGGCCTACATTGTCGAATCAGAGGACCGGGTGGAACTGGAGCCGTTCGTCAATATGCCTCGCTTTGAGGTTGCATTCCAGGCTCTCAGCGATCAACAGGGTCCAGTCTTCCATATCCATGCCGGCATGCGCACTGTCCTTTTGCAGTACTCTCTCTTCCGGCACTACTCTGTCGGAGTGGCCATCATGATCCTTAAGAGGGCGTTTATGAGATCGGGACAAGATGTTACTTCGCCAATGATGTCGCCAACGACGCCAAGAAGAGAGGGGAGCGATCTCCTGTCTCCTCCAATGTCACCAGAGTCGCCTTTTGTCGACATGAGTGACTTTTCGACCATCACTCCGGAGCTCGTGGCCATTGACATTAAGGCAGCTCTGGTTCAAGTCAAGGCCGAGCTTCCAAATGACCCTCAAGTGATGCTTCAGGTGTACGGCGTGGAAGCTGGTCGACACAGATGGTCAGCCCCACACCTGGCTTCGAAGCTGATTCGCGTTTACGTCCAACCGCCGAGAATGCGATCAACATGGGCTAGAATGGTCAGCATCAAGGGCGGACGCATCGACTGGAGGACATCCCGGCGCAAGCTTACCAGCGGCGGATTCCAGGAGGACAAGATGATCGACATCAACTCCGACGCCATACGATTTGCGGTACCGCATGAGGTCCAGGTCAACAAGATCTCCGACAACGTCATAAATACGCTCAAATCGATCAAGCAGCTCCACCACCGCTTCAAGACAGGAACTAATGAGTACATTCTTGACAAGGTCCCTGGAGGCCCGAAAAACGTCCCCAAGGTCTCGGTCAGAACCCGTTCTTTGCTCTTTGAACTGGAAGATGGTGCTTTTGAGTGGAAGCTGGGAATGATCTACCGTGCCGGCCGAATTGAACAGATGCAACGTCTTGCCCGTGAAGAGGCTTTCGAGGTCAAGAGGAAGAAGGTTCGCGAGGAAGAGTCAAGGAAAGAATCTGGCAAACTCCGAGCCCGCTCTCTATTCCACAGAGGGCGTCAGAACAACGGCGCCTCGTGGGCAAGAAGTCAAAGTGCAGATGGGCGGAGACGTGGGAGCGAAAGCCAGTCACGAGGTAGAGCGCCGCGGTACGACCCCGATGGAGGTGGCCTTGGTATCACCGGATCATCCAAGATTGCCGAGCAAGAGGCAAGAGAGAAGTTGGATGCGTACAATGCGCAGAGCTGGAAGAAGCGGATTGACCGATTCTACTCCATGGCGAAGAATGGCATGAAGGAGATTCGCGGCATGTTCTGGGGTCCCGATCAGCTGCCCGACGACTTGGAGGACACAGAAAACATCCTCGAGGTGCCCCAGAGGCCAGCACTGATGTCCGCCCTCATCACCGATCTCCAGTTCGTCATCGATAAACCTACCTTCGCTATGAAGGACCTGCCGGATTTCATCCATTCCGTTGGAAAGGGAATGCCCAAGGACATGAAATATGGCCTGTTGGTTCCCATGCATGTCTCGATCGACCTTAGTGAGGCGAGGATTTCATTACGCGATTACCCGCTCCCGCTCATTCACATTCCGAGCCTGAAGGCAGGGCAATCCACAAGGTTACCTGCAATGTCATTAAAGACCAATTTTGTCATCGCGGAAGAGTATCGTGGTATGGAAACAACCCGCCGTATCAAGGTCAACATTGTACCACCGCGAAGCCACGAGCCTGGGGGTGCAAGCGAGGGCGGTTTTGCCATCGACGTCCGACGGACTATCGGACCGGTCAAGTCCTACTCGAACATGAGAGTCGACATCAACACGGCTTTGCCAACAAGAATTACGTGGGGCCCAGCATACCAACCAGCCATACAAGATATGATGATGGGCATTGAGTCCTTCACCAAGCCGCAGGTTGACCCGTCCGAAAGAGTCGGATTTTGGGACAAGATTCGGCTCAATTTCCACTCTAGGATACACGTCGCCTGGAGGGGAGACGGTGACATGCATCTGGCACTGAAGGGCACGCGCGATCCTTACTGCGTGACGGGCAACGGCGCAGGATTTATCATGTGCTGGCGCAACGACGTCAAGTGGAACATCAACGCTGATGACAACCCCAAGCGCTTCATGACTGTCGACTCTGGCGAGTATGTGCTTGCCATTCCAGACTACAGCCACCAGGTCCGGGAGGCTGCCCGGCGCACGGGTGAAGACGACAGTTTGATGAGCGAAGACAGCTATAAGTCTGGCGCTTCCTTCAAGAAGGTCGTCATGAAGCTTTCTGGCAAGGTGCAGTGGATGGCTGGACTCGTGTTTGAGCGGGCAATTATGGAGGGCAAACGAAGCTTCGACTTCAGACCGCACTACGACGTCGTGCTGCGTGCTCCTCACCATGTCAAACCCGAGGACCAGCCGTACGATGCCTTCCGTGGATTCCGAAGTTCACATATCCATCTTTCGATCGCTGTCCGAGCACCCGTTGACCGCGATTGGATGTCTTCGAACCCCGAGTCGTCCCGGAGCTACAATACTGTGCACTGCACTCCCCGTTTCTTCACCCACTTCTTCGCATGGTGGTCGCTCTTTGGTGGCGCAATGGCCTTGCCAATCCGTCAAGGTTCTCTATGGCCAGGTAGAGAGCGGAACAGTAAGAAGTTCGGCAAGCATCTTTCGACCATCAAGTACAACTTGTTGTTGGCGCCGCTGTTTATCAGTCACATCTACAAGCATAAGGACGTTGAAGATGCTTCTGACAGTGGCGTTTCTGCAACGGGCCTCAAAGTCCGTTTTGACAGCTTCATGTTGGATCTTCATCAGAGACGTGAAGAATTCAATACCAGAGACCAGGGCCGAAAGACGAAGGGCAAGACCAGCGGAATCAAGATTCATGCGGCTCAGCTTGACCTGGCAGCCGCTGACGTACGAGCAGTGTCGGCAAGCATCAAAGGCACGACAACCGAGGCCATCAAGAAAGGATCCATATCCCAGCTGATAACGAACCAGCACGAGGATAGCGCCGATTTGTCACGCTTCACGATTCCTGACAACGACCTGAGCTGGATTGACATGGATGACTTTGTCGAGTTGGATTGGATCTTGCCAACGGAACCAAACCCGGATACAAAGATTCTGCCCTTGGCATATGCACCTCGCCTTACGTACTTCCGGCAAACCGACATTGGAGGCGTCGTCTCTGGAGATCCCGACCGCAAGAGCCCCTTTGGTGATGAGCCGACGCACTTCTGCATTATGAGTCACGACGACGATCCTCGCCGAGTTCAGACACAGCTCATTCAGGAACGCTTGGCTCAGCTGGAAGTCCAAATAGAAAGCTACGGAAGGAACTTGGGCGAAGCCGAGCTGAAGGTTGTACGTGACGACGCCAAAGACCCTAAGCTTGTTGCTGCGTTCGAGAGCTTGCAACAACAAGGCGCCATTTTGCAAAAGAAGAAGGTGTACCTTCAAAACATGCTTCGGCAGATGAACAAGCCCACGGACACTACCCAATTCTTCAAGCGCGAAAACGACAGCAGCCAGTCTGAAGAGTCGATCTATCTTGAGCAAGAAGATTCGCTGACGATCCCCTCCGGTGCCGAGTTTGAGAGTGATTTCAACAACCGTTTCGTCATTCACAACCTTCATTTCAAGTGGAACAACACGCTGCGTAACATCGTTCTACGCTACATCCACCAAGTCAGTCAGCGCCGGGGATTCGTCTACTACTTGTCCCGTCCAGCGGTCAAGTTTATCCTGGATATCGTGGAGGAGCAGTATAAGGCCAAACAGAATCCCAAGCCCAACGCCAGCAAGAACCGGACTCCCACGGGTGGCGCGACAACAGGCACCTCTCCAGACCTCGACCAGGCAGAGCGCGAATTCAAGCAAGACATCGAGGACCGCATCAAGAAAATCCTCCAAGACGGCAAGAAGTATGTCAACGCAGACGGCAAAGGCGGTGACAACGTACCCAACGTTCCTATTGAGGACTTGTCGAGCGGTATCTCGGACGAATTCACACCGCAAAACAGTTACCACGTCCGCCTCATTGCGCCGCAGATCCAGTTGCAGAGCGACAAGAACAAGAAGAATGTGGTCATCCTCACATCCAAGGGCATGGAACTCAAGGTTGTTGAGGTCATGGACAAGATGAGAATTTCAGATTCCGTCAGTGGTTTGGTGCAGCGACGATTCCTTGTGAACATGGATAGCACCCAGTTCTTCGTCACGCACCAGTCCTACTTCTCGGAGATGGTCACCTCCTATGCCGGAAGTCGCTATGGAACGCCGTCCTCGACCTCTTGGCCTCCCTGGGTTCCTATGGAGGTCATGTTCGACTTCGAGACCGATCCTTTCGGATTCAATCGTGTGGTGCAAAAGACATCAGCGATGCTCCGATACGACAAGTACAATACTCTGCGTCTGAAGTACAACGACGAAGTCAACACCGAGGGCTCTAGTGATTCATCGCAGCCCAATGCCGAACAGAAGATGGACAACCTTTGGGTCGAGTTCCCCCAAGCCCGTGCCCTCTGCAACTCCGGAGACTATTACGCCATGTATGTCATTGTACTGGACCTGCTCATGTACAATGAGCCTCTGGAGAAGACACGAAGCGAGCGTCTGGAGAAGATCATGCTGGCCTCCGATTTCAGTGATCTCAGCGGCACGCCCGAAATGGTGCAGAAGCTCCAAGAGCGCATTCGATCACTGCAAGACATCAAGTCACACTTCCAGATCTATTCCAAGTACATGGACGAACGTGGTTGGGAGGACAGACTTCTCCTGGAGCGTGATTTGGCAGCATGCGAGGACGAGTTGTTCTTCATGATGAAGGCTATTACATCTTCGCAGCGCAGATACGAGACGGCATCCGAGAGCAACGCCTTGCTGAGATGGAGCATCACAGCTCGCGACACGGTCTGGCACATGCTTCGTGACAACAAGGAACCTCTGGTCGAATTGCAGCTCAAGGATGTGGAGTACGACCGTACCGATAACGCTGATGGTTCGCATATCAACTTGATTCGGGTCGGCAAGGTATTCGGTTTCAACCTCTTGCCTGACGCCATGTACCCAGAGATCATCGCCCCGTACATTGGTGATGAGAAGAGCGCAGGCGAGCTGGGCAACCGGGAGATGATCCGAGTCTACTGGTACATGCTTGAAGCTATTGCCGGCATTCCTGTCATGGATCACTTCGAAGTCAACTTGTTCCCTATGAAGGTTCAGCTGGAGCGAGAGGTTGGAAAGCGTATATTCGAATACATCTTCCCTGGCATTGACGGCGATGAGAAGCAAGCCAAGAACGACTCACCCTTCATGCTCAAGCACACGCCCGCCGATGAGGAAGACGAAGACGATTCCTCCATGTCTGGATCTGGCCGTCTTACGGCTAGTGATAAGGATGGATTCAATACCAGGCCTGGCTCACTCGAGTTGCGTCTACACCCGACTTTGAACTCGGACTCCCCGTCCAAGTCGGTTGGTAGCACGCCTAAGAAGAATCTCTCAGTCAACACTGGAGAGGGCCACGGCTTCCGTCTGTTTCGGTCTGTGGGCACAGGAAAGACTATCGCCAAGAAGCCGTCGTATGAATCTCTGAAATCAAATGCTCCTCGTCCCGGAATCGGCCGCACCTCGACGGGCTTTTCGTCCAAGGAAAGCTCGGTAACGGGCGATAGCAAGAAGTCCCGTTTCGGCTTGCGCAAGGAGTCCAAGGCAGAGGAGAACAAGCCGTCCGACGACCTCACTAAGATGATGTCTCGCGCGAGCAGTTATATGACGTTCGCACACATCAAGATGCCCTCCGTGGTTCTCTGCCTCAGCTACAAGGGCAAGGACAACCGCAACGTGGAAGACGTGCATGACTTTGTGTTCCGCATGCCTGCAGTCGAGTGGCGCAATAAGACTTGGTCCAACCTCGACCTTGCCCTCGCGCTCAAGAAGGCCGTCATCAAAGCCTTGATCTCGCACACGGGTGCAATCATCGGCAACAAGTTCAAGCACCGCCCCAGCAACACCCAGGCCAGCAAGCTGCGAGAGCTCGCCAGCGGGTCGTCCCTGATTGCACCGTCCTCCGCGTCACAGCATGACGCTGATAGCATCAACAACAGCGACGATTCCTCGAGCTTATATGGTAATTCTCCCGTCGACTACTCGCGCTCTCCACCAAGGTCCTTACACGGTAGTTCAGCTAGTAGCATCCCGATCCCGCGATCCACGAGTAGGAGTTCTAGCGTCGCGAGCTCGAGATCACGTCGAACGGGCGAATCGAGCATGCAAGGGCCGGCCGTTCCCAGCTTCCTGATGATGACGCCTCCCACGCCGTCAGACGGCCGAAACCCTCAAGGCTTGGGTATAGAACTCCTCCGCCCGTCGTCTAGAAGCAGTCTCGCGCCGGACTACCAGCCCGGCAACGGCACGATTAGATCTCTATCTAGATCAGGGACGGGAGCGGAACCAGAGGGCCGTCGTAAGTCAGCAGGCAGCGGTTTTCTTCGGGACAAGCTGAATGCCCTCACGCACCGTAAGAGGGAGCCTAGCAAAGAACCAAGTCGGCTGCAGAGGGAAGACACCCCAGAACCGGACGAAGAGGCCACTGCGTCTCCCGAGGAAAGCCCGAAGGCGGTGAAGAGGTTCGGGGGACTTGGTAGTCGGGTGAAGACCGGTTAGGATGGGTCTTTGTGAGTGGGAAGTATTATTCAACATGAAGCGTTGGAGTCAAACAGGATAGGAAGGTTTTACAAAAAGATCGAGAGCATACGTGCCGGATAGAACTGGGCCCCGTGGACATGGGAGGCTGCAAGATTCATTCGCTATACCCGGCGTTTGGGAGGGTATTATATATCATTACATTACTACAACACCACCACGTCAACTGACGTTGATTCTTTTTCTGTAATTTTCGATGGGGAGGAGGGTGTGAGCAGAGGATGAGAGAAAGGAGATCAGGACAAAGCGAGTTTTATCAAGCCAGCGTTTTGCGTTCTGAAGTTTTGTACATATGGATTTGGTTTAAGGGGAGGGAAGTTGTATCGTTTTTAGAAGTAGGGGAGCAATTCATGGTGGCGGACGAATACAAAGTAGCCTTATGTTAAGCTTGTCGCCTTTGGGGAAGAGGATAAATGGGCGGGGGTGTGTGCTTGTGACATATCTTGAGACAGGGAAATGAGGACAACGTTGACCACGGACGCGTGGAGGGGAAGGTTTTGCGTGCGATTGTCGCGGAGCCCATGGAAGTCCTCTGGAATAATGGAGAATCTCCTCCACCTGCCTTCTGTTTGTTGTCCTTGGTCTTCTGCTAAGTATTCAGTCTCGTATAAAGTGGCGACGGTGTCTTGGTGTTTCGCGTGAAGTCGATCTACGGCATTGGGATGATCGACTTGGACGTGGGAGACTAGTTGCTTCCCAATGCGAGGGGTTATTTAAGTTCCCAAAGGGCATAACTCTTAGATGCCCGCCGGCTGCGAGGATCGCGTCTCCCCCTCGCGGGGTCTGCTGCCTGCGTGCTCCTTTGGGTGTTGGTATAAGAATGAGATGCTTCCAACAAATGCCTTGGCAGAGCCACAGATCAGGCGGTCCTCGCACATTGTTTCTTGAATGGAGCGTCTTACCAAGGTTTCGTTACTCCAATGACATGACACCAGGGGATCATCCGTTATCTCCGTATAGGGGCGCAGTAGGCGCTGTTTGCGAGTACTGTTCGTGTATACTCGACGAAGGCTGCGGATACGCGGCGACAGTTGGAGGACGGCATGATCTCATGACAAGGAATGGCGAGCTCCAATATGATTTGAGAATGTGGGATGTGGATCACATACAGTACGGTTCATGGAAAAGGCAATGCGGTAGGCGTTCTGCTGCGCCTGATTGTGTGGCTGTCTGTAGCCGCGCTCCTCGTTCTCGTTGGCGGCCTTTTATATCTCTATCACGGCCTCGATTTGGTAACAAACGGGAGACCGGTGACTATTCATACCCATAGCATGATAACACCTTCAAGCAACGCTCTGGTCCTGCTGAAGTCGCTGGGCGCGCCTGGCCCTTCCGTCAACGAGGCGCGTGGGGTGTGTGTGAGCGGTCCCTGGTCTCGCCGGGCCCGTGATGGTAGTATATAATGATACAGGAAAGCTGAAGAATTTGCACTCTGAAACCAAACGCGGAGAGATAGGAAGCGTCGAGATACACTGTCACAGTGGCGAGAGGCTTTCAATTAGATGGGATAGGGCACACTCGGCTTACCACGCCTGTCCGTATCAGCGCAGTCAACCGCGCGAGTACAGCTACTTCCGGCGCCGTGTGTGACTGTCGTGTGTGTATCCACAACGGACTCTATAGCAAAGCAAACAAACGAAACGAGATCGCGACGCAGTAGAAATATACTAACTGCACCATTGACAACAGAAAGCGGCAATGCACTCGCTCGGCGCAACCACCCAAACGTAATTTCTTGGTGATCCAATAAGTCTCGCTCCAAGCGCTCGATAACAAATATATTTGTACATAAGTTGATCAATCGTCTAAGTGAAGACGGAATGAGGTCTTTCGTTAAACGCAAGCTATAGAGCGGTATTCGCACCCCATCCTGGTACTTTAGAGAACCAAGATAACTACTTCCGGTGTCGGGGGATTGACCATCCTTGAACCAAAGACCTGGACCGCTGGGGCTATATAAACATGCGAAGAAGGCAACAAATTTCATTCTCTCTCCCCCGCGAATGGCTTTTGGCACTCATGATGTTTTTGGCCTTGATAAGAGAATGCGCTGTTGTATTCCATGAGATGCGTCTTCCAGCGGACCAGATCTTCCCATCACCACTTTTGAGAGACTACAGCCTCTGGTGTCGTTTAGGAGCACTCCCCGCGTATCCTTGACGAATATGAGTTGAATGTGTGGCGATTTTCGGGAAGAAGTCATCAGAGATGTAGGGCTTTGGTTTGGGTTCTATGTGTGTAGACTTTCCAATTCCGGTTATGTCATGTCAATTATTCAGGCCATCCTGATTACTACCCACCCGGCATTATTCTGTCCTTGCTGTGAGCTCCAGCTGCGAAGGCGCGTCTTCTGTCCTTTATATACGACCCTATCTCATCGAAACCCGCTTCGTCGTAGATATCGAAGTCCTCGATTTTCGAAAGCTGAGCCCGGCCCCATTCTCATCGCCTCGAGTCGTTTCCTTAAATCTACGCGAGGAGTGGACATCCCTAACGTGCATACTTTTCCGAGCCGATGCTTATCGAGAGTCTAGTAGCCATGTTACGTATCCATATGAATATGTTCGCAGTTTCGATAAGCCCTCAATATCGCTGCAACTCATTGGATTGTCTTTCTCGTCGCGAGAATTCGCGATACCAAACAGTCTTCTTCGTTGTCAAACACAACCCCGGATGGAATAAACCTCAAGGCCTCGCTGATGGAAATGGGCATCCGATTGTAACTCACCTTGTCGGCGTCATTGATCTTCCGCTGTTTATCTGTCTGGTCATTCACAGCGTACAACCCGAGATCTCAGCTTCTCGTCATGCGGACCTCAGCCATGATGTCGAACAGCGGATGGTTAGTCAACTTGGGATAATTCAAGAGGTCTCCTACGAAGGGCATCCATCGTCTGTCTTGAGTTGAAAGGCTTGGACATCGAGAGCATCTTTTTTATGCATCGCCATAGTGATGTCTCTTGCCGTACGCTCGGAACCCAGAGTTCTGCCGTCATGCATATTTGCTGATCTCCTTATAAAGCTGGACAGCTGCACGTTCAAACTCCTTCAAGCCAATAATTCTTCAAGATCTGCGAAATTCAGTTGCCAACTGGTTTCGCAACAGCTTTTGAACCGTATGGCACGGTCAGCCGACCTACGTCAAAAGCCTGCCCGGTACCGAGGCTGATCATTTCCGACCGGAGGGTCCACATCGGCGCCGTCTCCGTCCAACGTCCGTCCTCCTGGGTTGATCTCGCCGAATACACCACAGCTGTTAGGAGAACCGCCTATGCCGAACAGATTCTCACGTCAACTCCGAGTGCTGATATACCTGGTCCTCGGCGACTTGTCTCTCAACCATACACACAGGATGCCTCAAGGTAGACTATTGGGATTCCGAACGGCAAATTCCTTGGTGGCATCAGAAACAATAGTTTCCTGTCGTCTCTTTTTTTGTTAACCTTTCCTTCGTTGCCATCGTCAACACCACCTCGACCAGATGCCTCGATACCGACAGTCATCCAAACTCCGGGGCGTGTCCCATGCATTGAATCGGCAGTCGACCGGTTGCCTCTGACTGTCGATGTAACTCGGGTGTCCTCGAATGTAGAGTCGTCGATGATCTCGCCGCCTTCATATCAACCTCCTCTTTCCTTGACTCCAAAATTTTCTGCCCACTCGACTTCGCCCTCACGACGTCTTCCCAATCCTCCACCCAAACCAACCCAAGAGAACAAGAACACCCTTCTCCAAATGACAGCAGACACGCCTTCTTATACCCCAATCCCCAACCCAAATGTCGCCATCAAACGCCATCCTTCGCAACCTCACGCCATCAAGCCACACACTCTCACAAACGCCATCATCCTCACTCACCTCACCTCACACAGCCATCACCATTCCCCAGACGCACCCTCACCGTAACATCCCGCCCGCCACATATCCACATCGCCACCACCGGAACAGACCGACAGGCAGAACACCAAGCCATCCATCCAGCAAGGAATCTGACTAGCATCCTTACACCAGATAACGGCCCCTAATGCTCCCCAAAACTCTCTTTTCACATTCCTTGTATGGTAGACCAATCACTTTGGACATAATTCAGCGAAAACTACCTCATCAGCCCGTACTGGAGATCCAACCCTCAGAACAACGCCCGCAGCTCCAGATGGAATACAACTTCGACAAGTCATACACCCTACATCTCACATACATCACCGCACCCGATTGCAAGATCACACAAAAGCAGTCAAACGGTCCGTCCCGTTGCCAAATGTCACGCAACCGCCAGAACCCTCGAAAAGCAGAATTCCCATACGAATCTCTCGGTCTCATATCAACCAGCCCATGCCCAATCTTCCTTACCTCCTTCCCAAAAGCCGTCCTCCCCGGTCTTGGAAAAACCCACCACCTTCTTAAACAAGACAAAACCCCATCACCTCAACCGCCAACCCAAAAGATCCCCCATCCCAAACACCTTCTAGAAACCGTCTAGACTCCAAACCACCTCACTCCCCAAAATTCCCATCTCGTCTAACAAAATCCACAAATCCCATAATCATAACCGCACACCCCGAGTTCATAGCCCCCAAACCTCTGCTCTCTCACTGCTGTCTCACATGGATCCATCCGCCCTAAGGCGGAGACAAGACCCAGGGTTCACCGCAATCTTCCCTAGCCTCACCACCACTGCTGGAAAAAAAAACCCTTCCCAGCCAGCCCCCAGCGAACAAGGATCCTCCCCTCAAACGCGCGCAGGCAGGACCCCTAAACAGCAAATCACCAGGGAACGCACAACAAACCGAACCATTGGCATTGGACCCCTATCGAAAAGAAAGAGAAAAAAAAAGCGCGCACAAATTCCAACCCTGCAGAAAAGGGTAGAGTACCTGAGCTGTGAACAGTGAACCCTGACCTAAATTACACAATCAAAATCCCGCCGCTCGAATTATTACAGCGGAGAAGAACACCCTTCC